GGGAGGAGGGGGGAGGAGGGGGGGCCAGGGAGAAGTCCAAACCCAAGGGGCCTTCAGGACTTGGGAGAAGGGGGCTGTGGAGAGCACATTCACACCCCCTCCCAGCACAGCACTGTGCCAAGCAGTGTGCTGATGATGGCTTGGGGTGGGGAACAGAGGTTCAGACTCTGTCGGGCCTGGCTGTTTGTGCAGAAACTAGGGGGCAAAACTAAGGGCCCCAGGCTGCAAGATGGAACTGATGACTGACCCGTTCTGTTAAGCCCCCTTAGTCTATTGCATGGATTGAGGTGCTCATCCAAGCTAGAGGCTAGTCTCCCTGGTGAGGTGGGGCAGTTTCCACCCCCAGCTTTTCTCACCTCCCTCCAGCACCAGTGGAGTCTGCTCTCTGGGCAGCATCATGTCACAGGGAGTGGGAGCGTCCCGTAGCACACCCAGTAGGCGGGACTATGGGGCCTCCCTCCTCCCCAGAAACTGCAGCCCCCACGGCACAGCCTGGCCCCCTGGGCGAGAGCACAGGGGCCTTAATAAACGTTGGTATGTGGTTTGGGATGAAGACAGGCACCAGGCCAAGTGTTGCTGTCACAAATGTCAAGTGTTATTGTGGAAAAAACAAGGCTGCCTACGTGCCCAGCCACCCTTTGCCAGCATTTTTTTTTTTTTTTCTGGTTCAAGAGCCTCCTGAAGTCCCAAGAAGATCAGTCTCAGGAGCCCAAAGGGCAGGATTTTCCTAATTTAATAAGCAATCTCAGCTTCATAGACAACACCCCCTGACTCTTTCCTTCCCTTGATACCCACCCTCCCTGCTAGAAAATACCACCTACGGTGGTCTTCTCACGCATGGAATGGATGGAGAAGGCTCTTCATTTCCAACTCACACAGATGGTATCAGTCAGTTCAGTACAGAAATACACAGATACAATAATGATGCAATTATGTGATGTAAATATTAACTTCATTACTTTCCTTGTAGGCTCTGTGTGGTAGGCCACTGTGCTATCATCACCGGAGCTCAGGGATGGTCATGACAAAGTAACAAAAGTAATTAGAGGAAGTGTGTTCTAAAGACCGAGAAATCACAAAGCCCATCTCAACATATGAATGCAAAACCAGAATTCACTCATAGAGGCATTTCCAGGGTTAACAACGCATAGTACCGTGGGGGCCCGGAGCTGGTGGGAGCTGTCCATAATTTTCCAATGCAGGTGTTCTTTGTTCAGGATTTTGAGCTCCTCCCTCCATTTTCCAGAGTAGCTTCCCCAAAGGACCCTACCTGGAGCCAGCCACACCTGGGTTCGGCCTATAGGCCACTGAGGGCCTGGTTGTTTCTTCCTGGCTTCCCTGGGCAGAGGGGCAAAGCTGGCCGCACCGCTGACACCAACACCCTGCGCTCTCTCCTCCCCCTCTACCCCCCTTCCCTGCCCTCCTCCAGCTCCCCTTCCCCTTCCCTCCCCTTCTCTCCTCTGCTTTTACCAGCTGATAGCCGGGCCATCCCAACCCAGGCCAAGGCTCCCCACAGCGCTGTCAGGTTCATCTCGAAGCAGTCAAAGGGGGAAGGAGGGCCTCTTTCAGGTCCCAGGTGGGGGCTGGGGGGTGGCACAGGTACAGTCCAAGGCAGACACCGGCTGGGTTTGAGTTCAATGGGGCAGGAGGCCCTGTCTTACTTTTTATCTATTTTTTTTCTCCTTTATGCATCTTGGTTTTTTAATGGAGGGAGTCTTGAACCTGACGCTGCTGTCTCCCTCCTGCCAGTTCTGTGCGTCACTAAGTTGTTCATATACAGCTGGGAACAGCTTTTCATTTAGCCCCCCTTCTCTTCCCCTGCTGTGTCACTAGCTCAAGAAAGACACTACTACCGATGGCAAAACACCTCTCTACATGTGCAGACAGAGTGTGGACTGGCCACCTGAGCCGCAGTCCCCAGAACCAGCAGGACCTGAAGCTCTTAGCAGCTTTTTCCCCTATGTTTTTCCCTTAAAAGAAAAAAGCCTTCATAGATGAACCATCCACAACCAACCCTTATTTAGCAGAAACCAAAGATCCCACGGTGGGAAACATCTGGCCTTCCCTGTGGCTCCTGAGCTAATTGATGCCATCTTGAGTCCTTGGGCATGCCCGCTCCTGGGTCCCCTAGCCCATCCTAGGCCCTCCCACCCTCTTCCCATCTCAGAAGCCTGCCAATCCCTGGGCATAGCCCTACCCCTGGTCCTGCCCACCAGCTGCAGCTTGCTCTCAGAGCTGCCACATTCCCACCCTCCCAGGCTGGGGGTGAGCCTGCATTGCCCTGGGAGACATCAGCTCCCCTCGCCCCATCTCTAGTCCACAGAGATGGGGATGACATTCTCCTAGAGTCCTCACCTTGCTTGTCAGCATGGAGACCCTGATGGTGGGGAGGGGGAATACTATCAGGAGGGGTGGGCATCCCAGGAAAACTGGCCTGCAGCTCAGGAGCCTGGGGAAGGGAAATCAGGCTGTGAAGCTCCCTTGGTTTATGAAGTAGAGCCTGAGACCTGGCCCATCCCCAGCATGAAGAGAGCTCTAGCAGTCTATGCCTCTGTGATTCTGAGATGGAGAACAGGCGGTGGGCAGTGGCAAGGGATCACCAAGATATCAGAGCACAAAGCAGAGGCTCTACCTTCTCAGCACCTCCTCTTTTCCTCCCCAACTCAGTCAGTGTTGGTCCAGCTTAGATGCAATGTCCGCCCTCCTTTGGCAGCCTAAGGGCCTCCTGCCACAACCTCCTCAGAGGCACCCTCACACCCACTCTAAGGCTCACTCAGAATGGCCTTTGTTCTGCAGCTGGGACAGAACCACCCAGCCCTCTTGCCTCTGGGCACAAACAGAAAAGCGCTCTGGGGGCCACCTCTGAGAACAAATAGCAGGCCCACTGGGGTTGCCAGTGGCCAGAGGGTGCTGGCTCCATCTAGAACTAAGAGCAGAAAGCTGCAAGGAACAGGCACAGGGCCCCTCCATCAGGCCCTCAGCCTTTCCTGTAGCAGCCTGGTAGGAGCTTAGGGGGCAGAGAATCCCATCTTTAGGAGGTGATCAAGCCTGAGGGCTCCCTCTGCCCTAGTTGGGTGGATGGGAGACACTAGGGGTTGATACTGGGCCACTGGGCCCATCCCAACCACCCCCTCCTCTGCCTTCTATGTGGCCTCCACCTCCCGGGGTGTCCGATTTCTCTCGGCCTGCACCCGGCTCTTCACCTTCTTGCCCAGTTCAAGCCCTGCCCAGCTCTTGCCCTTGGCCTGTTTGCCCCGGTTCCGGGAGGAACACCACATGCGCTCACAGTACTCATCCACCCGGGGCAAATTGGCGAAGCCGATGAGCTGCAGGATGTCCTTGTACCAGGCCTTGGGTGGGGTGGAGGCCAGGCCTCCCCGGGCAGAGGGCTCCTGTGGCCTCTGCTCCCCATGGAACAGGCTGCTGAGCTGCGCAGCCACAATCACCTCCAGAGTCAGGCGGGCCACGGTCTGGGAGAAGCCGTGCTCCAGCGTAGTGCAGGTGTAGGTGCCCTCATCGAGGCGGCTGAGCCTGCGGAACAGCAGCCCCTGCTCCGTTTGCAGGACTCGTTCATCTGTCTTCACCTGCTGGGCACCAGGGAGGGCGTGAGGGGGCCGTGGAGCAGAGTGCACACCATCAACTTCTCTGCACCCTGCTTTTCCAAATGTGCCATCTCAGGGCCCAGGGCTGGGGCACTTCCCTTTCCCATTCTCCCCTTTCTAGGCTCGGCCTCCTCAAGACTAAGCTAATTGCAGGCAGGGCACCACCATCCCATAACCCAGGGCATGGTCTGGGAAGGGGGCTTTTCAAAAATTTGGCTGATTTCTCGCTAGTCAAAGTTCTGGAGCACCTATCTTGGCTTTGGGGGGGCCCTGGCACACATTCCCAGTGAAGTGAGAGGGTAGGAGGGTATTTATAGGGTTTTACTCAGGGGGTCTGTAACCCCAGCCCCAGGACTAGAATTCCGCTCACTCTACATCTCTGCATTGTTCACTCCCCCACAGTGCAGGGCCCACAGCCCCAGCCAGGGGTGGGACAAGCGCCCATCACAGTGTGGGAGGCGGGAGTGGTGTTCTGACCCGGCGGATCTCTGGCCCAGCCTCTGTCTGGGCTTTCGTCTGCATGGCTGTATGTTGAGGCTGGCCTGCTTGGGCAGTTAGTGCTGTGTAATTTCATCTCATTGCTCCCCCTGCCCCTGGCCCCTGGGGGAGTCTCTCAGTGCCTAGCCCAACAGCTGGCCCAAGGCTGGCCTCCTCCAGTTCCCAAGCTGGAAGGACAGCC